CAACGATAATCCTAACATTGCATTCCCCTGAAGAAACTGGGTTTCCAATTGATCGAAGAACATAAAAAAAGATAGGATAAGTAACCCTAGATTATCTAGAAAGTCGAAAAGCAGTATCCGAAAGATTTTAGGAGAAAATTCCGAACCAACTGCAAAGAAGAGGAAACCTAATCGGCAGGGGCAGGGACAATGTCCAAAATACTCCTTCTATTGTAGTTTCTTGTTTTTGTACTATTAATTTCGATAGAAAATGTATTGATTCTTCTATCATAATACGCATTTTTTTCTCGAAAAAAAAAAAAAAATTGTTATTAAATATAATTGGCTATACGTTCAATAGTGAACTATTATTAGCAAATGTTCTTCTAGAATTTATTACCGTAATGTATCCTGAAGCTATAGAAAATCTACGAGAGGAAGGGGTATATTTTCAACTTGGGGTTTGTCATACCCCACGTGTCGAACAGCGTTACAAAATTTCACCTGTCGGATACCGGGTTAAACAAGGACTACAAGTTGTACAAAAAAAACTCAATTAATGATTCTTTTAAATTATGTTAACTATGTACTTAATTAGTTAAATGTGAATTATGATATAGTTATAACAAAACGCATAGAACATGAACACAAATACGTACGTTGTACCTATTCCTTTTATGAAATGCTGCATTTTATTTTTTACCAACTTTACTATATAAAATATCAATTACAGATAAGATATACAATATATAATGTAATTATTGTGTTAAATTTTATTAAAAACTTTTATAAATTTTAAGAATTCTACTAAGTCGTGTATATATTTAGATTCTCATAGAAGTTCTTTTAATGTTTTTGGAAGGTGTTGATATATAGTATTCTTCTTATTCTCTTTATAAGCAATTCTGCTTGTTCATTGGCGGATTAATACCCATATGGAAGCTTGTCACTCCATCTTTTGCGCGGTCGTCCGATACTTCTTCTGTCGATTGGTGACTTATCTCTTGCTATTTTGACGACACGTGTCTCCTCCATTCTGCTTATGTGGTTATTCCATTCTATTTTTCTATTTTGTGTCCATTCATTTATGCACTGTAGCTTACATTTCTTCTAATCCTTCTAACGTCTTCACTTCTCTTTCGATCTCTCAGCGTATTTCCTGTAATTCTTATCAGTACTCCCATCTCTGCATTTTCCAGTATCATTTGTGTTGTGGCTGTGTTGGGTCTTATTTCTGAGGCATATTTCATTATTAGTGTTATTTAGGTATCCTGCCAGTTTATTTGCTTTTTGTACTTGGTCTCTCACTTCTTTGCCCAGGTCTGCATAGCTAGACTACATTTACAAACAAAACACACTGGTTTCTTGATCTCTTTTCAACAAGTGTTTCTGTGTTGTCGCTTTGAAGACCAGAAGTTCCAGAGAAGGACAGATTTCTATCAATGCAGTATTGCTTCTATTCCATTGGTTTTGCCATACATCGTGCAATTTTCCTTTCAAGTAAGGTTTAAAATCTAAATACACCATTAGATTTTCGACTGATGCGGCTGTACTGGTTACTGAGGATCTAGCTAGACTATCTGCCTTTTCTTTACCATCTATTACAACGTATGATAAACTAGGTTGCAAGGTTGGTTCGCAAATTGACAAGTCAATTGCTGAAAACTCTCCTGTTACTTCATTGTACCGGGTATTCCTGCCGTCATTAAGTAGATTTAAATTGAGCTTATTTAGGATAGTTACTATTTTTCTTCCCATTTGTGTGATTTTTTTTGAGCCCGTTTAATGAATTGTGTGCATTAAACCCTGCTAGTATAATTCGAAGTGTAGGAATCTGACATAGAAGATTAGAAATGTCTGCTTTGGATTAGATTAGATTATGCTTGGATCATAGTTAGGAGCAATATAAAGATTGCAGATGTTAACTTTTAGTGGACATACTAAATACACCGCTACAGCTTCTAGATTTGTTATCAGAGCATATATTCATAGGAATCTCGATAAAATTGAAACTCCACCACTGGCATGTTCTTGATTTTGCCCTAATGTTGGATACGTTTGTATAATTTTCTAAATGATGAACATTGTTGTTTTTAAAATGTATTTATTGTTGACAAATTGTTTTAATATTTTTGTTTTCCAATAAAAATAAGATCAAAGTAGACGATTGCATTTCTTTTCCAATTCGAACTCCACCATTGTTCTACACGTGTTTCTAGTTATTAATCAAAATAATATCCTTATGATTATAGGGTTTATGAAATTACAAAACATTGTGAGTGGTTGAAAATAATACTTTAATAACATTGTTACTCGCTATTTTAAGGTACTAAGTATGTACTAACAGTATATTATTTAATAATTATTAATGATTCTTATAGTTTGTTTTTTAGTCTTCAGATAACATTTTTATTTCTGGTTTCAGTTCTGGTAATATGAATGAAATGCAATGTATGTTACAAATGTCACCTAACCGCTTCTTGTTGGGAAGTCACCAAGATAAACTAATAGACTTCAATTTAAATGTTGGAAAGGAAACATTAGTAGTAAGTATTTAATTTTTAAATACAGTCTAGACGTTATTGAGATTGCATCATAATTTTTATATTTTACTTTTTGAAATGACAAAGCACATAGGTAGTTCTAAATATGTATACAGACTGTTATACATGCTGATTTGATCAATTTTAAAATTTTTCCTTATTTTACTTTTCGGACCTTATAAAATACTTTCTTTTAATCATTTCGCATACTATTTTACCAAATGACAGCGTCTGCCAGATTAGTATTGATTGATAGTCAATATGTATTTTTGATTCAATATGCTCTACCTGCTTTGATATAAAACAAGTTTCATCATCAACATCACGGAGCTACAGCCCTTAAAGGGACTCGACTTTCTCAAACTTTCTGCGCCATTCTGCTCTGTCACTTGCTTGGATTTTCACGGTAGCAACACTGATCTTCTCAGCGTCCTGTGTTACCCTATCTATCTACCTTAGCTTTGGTATGGTATGCCCGTCTTCTTATTTCCACCGGCTGCGCTGTTAAAATATTTTTTTATCATGTTCGATTCCGAAGCCCGGGCTACATGTCCTGCTCTCTGCAGATGGTTTCGATTGGTTATAGTGGGAATATATTTTCCATAAAACTTATTTTTGTAGATGTTCTGCAGTTTATATATATATATATATATATATATATATATATATATATATATATATATATATATATATATATATTATATATATATGTTTATGCAAACCTTCATTGCAAACTTTGATATAATATTACAGTTATTAAACAAGCAACAGAGTTTATGTTACTAAGTAATTAAGAAAGAAAAAACACAAATAAAAATAAATTTTATCTCATTTAAACTTGGAATAATCCCTTTAATATGCGTAACTTTTAAAAACTTTTATATTGTTATTCTTTTATTTAAAAGAAGATTATATCTTCTTTTAAATAAAAGAATAACAATATAAAAGTTCTTATTAAAAAGGATTATTCCAAGTTCAAATGAGATAAAATTTATTTTTATTTGTGTTTTTTCTTTCTTAATTACTTAGTAACATAAACTCTGTTGCTTGTTTAATAATTATATATTACTCACATAGTCACTAAAGCCCTTTCTAAAAAAAAAGAATATATATATATATATATATATAATATATATATATATATATATATATATATATATATATTCAATATCACGTTTTCAGACCGCTCCGAATATTTTGCGTAACAGTAACTCCGGAAAGTGTCTTACCCATCTTAAGAGGTTATCCTCATTGTTCGTAAGCAATTTCCTATCCTTATAATTACAAATGTTGATTCTCGGTTTGAATTTTTTTCTAATAGTGTTTATTGGCTTTCTCTAATGGCTTTCGAATCTTTCTAATATGTTGTTTTTCGATCTTCGTTTCTTTTTTCGGTATATGCGTTTCTTATCTCTCAAGTTTTTGCAACTATATCTATTGTTTCCTACTTATATCTCTCTCTCTCATAAAAATAGGAAGACCAAGATGGGCAGGACATCTGGCAAGATCACCGCAGAGCAACCCTCCCAGAAGTAGGGGTAGGCCAAAACTCAGATAGAGGGATGGTGTACATGAGGATAGTAAAAAAATAGGCGCAGCAAACTGATAATAGTTGGCAATGGAGAGAACTGACTGGAGTGGGAAGGTCTTGGGAAGGTCGAGGCTCTTTTATAGGACTGTAGCACCAATGATGATGATCTATTGTTTTCCTAGTTTTTCGTTGTTGCATGGTCGTAATAGCCTCGTTCTTCTGTTGTTATTTTTTGGCACTCTTGGTCGAACCAGTAGCTTAGGGATATTCCCAATGTGCTTTCGGCTGCTAATTTCAAAGCTCCCTAGCAGTTATTCCAAATTTCCGTGCTTGACTGGTCGACTGCCCAAGCTTGTTCTAGAGTTTCTTTTGTGTGACTGGAACTGTTTCTCTATCTTTTCATTGTTTAGCATATGTAAATTATATTTTACTTGTCTAGTGCCACTTTCATTTTTGGCGTTGTAAATTGTTTGTCGAAACTTGACTCCTATCATGAAATGGTCTAAGCTAATATTTTGCGCCTCTGTAACTTCTGACCTTCATTAGATTTGTTAAGTGCCTTCTGTTGGCAATAGAGACTACCGGTGTAAAGAAGCAAATAAAAGTATCGGAATCTGCAACAAAACGAGGCCGTTGTTATTCTTGTAGAGATAGTAATAAGAAATATTCAAAGAGGTGTGTCTTTTGTAAAAGATTTGTTTGTAATACTCATTCAAAACATAAAGTTAATATTGTCAAAATTAAATGCAACTACAGTCAAAAAGACGGGGACCATCTTAAAAAATTTAAACACATACAATAATTTAGGTCTATAATTTTCACGCTTGACCTATCATCGTAATGTAAGTAATAAAATAATCTCCGTACTCCGAAGGTTAAATACCCTCTCAAGAAGTTTTTATATATATTTTTTTTAATTTTAGGCAGATGTAGGTGAAGGTTGTGTTATGTTAAGACCTCACAGTCGATTCGTGTGTGCTGGAAATCCATTAGGACGTATAGATCTGCGTGATCCCACGAGTTTAAATGTTGAGCATAGCATAGACACACATACAGGAAGCTTGAGTGATTTCGATGTGCAAGGAAATCTTCTTGTTACGTGCGGTTTTAGTAACAGGTAAGTTTAACACTAACGGAAACAATTAAGCTTGTAGTGGCATTCATAACACGATAATAGGGTATTTGCCCTTAGCTTTTATTACTGTAACTGACGTAAGCTCTTTTTCAAGTTTTAGGATATTTGTGTGAAAACCTGTTAAACATGATTATATAATAGGTTTTTTCTAGTTATTTTTTGTATAATAACAAACACTGCAGTATTTTGTTTGTTTGTTTTTAAAATCCTTTGGGATATATAATTTATTGCACTCTTCTAGCTGATCTACATGTTTACTTCTAATCATTAATGCCACTTTCTTCAGTGGTAGTCTGTAACCACTTATCATTTACCCTTTTTCTTGGCCTCCTGTAAGGCACTTACGTATGTTGATTATCCATTATATATATATATATATATATATATATATATATATATATATATATATATATATATATATATATATATAATTCTTTGGAGGATAACTTTCGGGAAAGCGTCAAAACAAGGATCAGCTAGAGATGGTATAAGCCAGTTTGGTGTAGAACTTTATTCTAAATGTGAAATTTTCGGTGATATGTTGTCACCTTCATCAGCACCTAAATGGAAAACCTATTTTAGTACAAGTGGTGGAAATTAACATATAAAACCTACATTGAAAATGTTCAGTTGGTCCTAGAGGTGAAGAACACTGTCACAAACATGTTAAAAATATTAAAAAATACATTTAAAATTTTGAATAAAAACATTACAACACAACAGGGTATTATTTAAAATACAAACACAACAAAAATCTAAAAATTACAACCTACACAAAAACTGCAACTTCATGTTAAAGGTAGAAAAGAAGAATTATTCTTCTTTTTGATGACATATTTCTGACTTCTGTCAATATCCGGATGACATATGCAAGGAGGTTATAATTTTCACGTTAGAATTATAGGACATTATAGGACGTAGAGGGCACCCTTCTTTGTGAATTTTTGGAAGTCCATAGTATGTTGGGGTGGTACCGGTATAGTTGGTTAATTCTTTTTTTGTTTTGGTGGTAATATGTCCTTCTTCATGTAGTTGTTTTATTAGTAAGTTGGTGTTTCTTTCTACTGATGGAGTCAGATCTTTGGGGATTTTTTTATAGGAGTGTGGGTCATTGAGAAGTTCAAAAGATTTGGTGATGTAATCGTTTCTGTCCATTATGACTGTAGTGTTACCTTTGTCTGCTCTTGTTACTATAATATCAGGGTTGTCTTTCAGAAATTTTCTCGTTTTTGTTTCAATGGCCATGGATGGACTGATGTAATAACGGTTTCACACATGTAATAACACATCAAAACCAACCGTTATTACATCAGTCCATCCATGGCCATTGAAACAAAAACGAGAAAATTTCTGAAAGACAACCCTGATATTATAGTAACAAGAGCAGACAAAGGTAACACTACAGTCATAATGGACAGAAACGATTACATCACCAAATCTTTTGAACTTCTCAATGACCCACACTCCTATAAAAAAATCCCCAAAGATCTGACTCCATCAGTAGAAAGAAACACCAACTTACTAATAAAACAACTACATGAAGAAGGACATATTACCACCAAAACAAAAAAAGAATTAACCAACTATACCGGTACCACCCCAACATACTATGGACTTCCAAAAATTCACAAAGAAGGGTGCCCTCTACGTCCTATAATTGCCTGTAAGAATGCCCCTACTCAATCCTTGGCTAAATATCTGGCAGGTATTATTGACACTTCTTTTTCTTCTCATAATACCTACAAAATTAAAGATTCTTTTGAATTTGCAAATAAGATTAATGGGTTTTTACTACCTATAGGATATGTCTTGGTGAGTTTTGATGTTACTTCCTTGTTTACCAACATCCCTCTTGAACTGGTAGTTTCTATTCTGACAACTAATTACCATCTTATTGAACAGAACTGTACAATTCCCAAAGTTTTGTTCCTGAAACTGATTACCTTTTTATACAACAATACATACTTCACTTTTCAAAATGAATTCTATGTCCAAATAAAAGGAGCACCCATGGGTGGAGCTATATCCCCAACTTTAGCAGAAATTGTAATGAACTCCCTACTTCACTACTGTACTCAAAAAGTTGATTTCCAGTTCCCTTTCATTTACCAATATGTAGACGACCTCATATGTGCAGTCCCTGCAGACAAAATTAACTACACTCTTGACATTTTCAACTCATATAACACTCACCTACAATTCACTGTTGAAACAGAAGAGAATAATAGTGTTCCATTCCTCGACACCCATGTAACCAGACATGAGGACAACACAGTAAGGTTGGATTGGTACAGAAAGAAAACATTCTCAGGTAGATATGTGCCTTTTCACTCGTATCATCCAGACGAACAGAAGATTAACATCATCAAAGGTCTGAAAAACAGAATAAAAAGAATTTGTCACCCTTCTAACTACAATAAGAACATCAAATTATTGTATGAGATTCTTAGAAAAAATCACTACCCTAAGATGCTTCTTAATAAATTGCTATTCCAAGATATGCCAACAGTTAGAACACACCAAAGACAAACATTAGAAGGAGAAACAGTAGAAGTTTTCTATGGGAGATTACCTTACATCAGAGGTTTATCTCCACAGATCACAAACCTTTTCAGACAGTTCAACATAGTGATAGCAAATTCAGTGTACAAAAGATTAGGGACATACTTTACTCACCTGACAGAAAGAGTTAGAAAACTGGATAACTTCAATGTAGTGTATTCTATTCCATGTGGTTCCTGTTCAGAAGTGTATGTCGGTCAAACTAGCCAGAAACTCTCAAAAAGACTAGCTTTGCACAAGAGTGATGTAGTGAGGAAACCCACCTGCACAGCCTTTAGCCAACATATTAAGAATACTGGACACATTGCTAACTATGAAAATGTGCAAGTACTAAAGAGGGTTGACAACCAATTTAAGAGAAACTTCATAGAAATGTGCTACATCCATAACTGCAGTTCTTCTATGAACTGTAAGAAAGATGTTGAAAACCTAAGTTGTATTTATTCATTTCTACTTCAACAGGACTTGACAAGATGTAACAAACTGGAGAATGTAGGGAACTTATCATAACATACATAGATTGCCCACCTGTACTTGAGAAAAGACTCCATTTCCCTGTTGATTGTGTTTCCTGGGGTTCTTTCTTTCCATATCCATGAGGTTCTAACGTGAAAATTATAACCTCCTTGCATATGTCATCCGGATATTGACAGAAGTCAGAAATATGTCATCAAAAAAGAAGAATAATTCTTCTTTTCTACCTTTAACATGAAGTTGCAGTTTTTGTGTAGGTTGTAATTTTTAGATTTTTGTTGTGTTTGTATTTTAAATAATACCCTGTTGTGTTGTAATGTTTTTATTCAAAATTTTAAATGTATTTTTTAATATTTTTAACATGTTTGTGACAGTGTTCTTCACCTCTAGGACCAACTGAACATTTTCAATGTAGGTTTTATATGTTAATTTCCACCACTTGTACTAAAATAGGTTTTCCATTTAGGTGCTGATGAAGGTGACAACATATCACCGAAAATTTCACATTTAGAATAAAGTTCTACACCAAACTGGCTTATACCATCTCTAGCTGATCCTTGTTTTGACGCTTTCCCGAAAGTTATCCTCCAAAGAATTGTATTCTTAGCGTCGTTATACAAACTCTATATATATATATATATATATATATATATATATATATATATATATATATATATATATATATATACCGGGTGGTGAATCACCGAACGGGCCATAGGAAATTCAATGGGAAATTCTAAATTGTTGAATTCCTGCTTCCCTAATTATTTTACATCAAAAGTCATAAGAAACTATTTGTAGAGGACTGAAATATGTATTCAAAACAAATGTTAAAATTGTTCTACGAATTAAATGTATCCAAAATTTTGTAAAAATATAATACATTTTTCAGGCCACCCCTTAAAGTCACGCAACACGAGGTACAAGAATGTGTATGACATGTCGCGTTTGGTCATTTTATGATTCTTATATTTGACAATATTTAAATGGTCAGTATTCTTATTTTGTGATTAAATTATGCACAAATACTAAAATACGCAAATTTTCACAAATACTACTACTACTAGTGAACAATAAATAGTACTTTTGTAAATAATAAATTATATTGTTTACAAAGCAATAAAATTGATGAAATGTATTCAGTTCACGAAAAATTGCAATAATGTATTCAGGCAATAGTGCTAGCATTGCCAGATCTTTATTTAACACAAGATATTATAATACCATTGTTTAAGTAAGAAACTTCTTTCTTTTTTAAACATTGATTTTACACTCCGATTCAATTCCAGGTTTTAAAACAATTCAAAGAATTTTTTCTCTTTTGTTGACCAAATCCTATAATTTTTAACATTTAATTCATTATTTAATGTAAATGTACACTCATCACTAAAAAAATGTTTTTTAAAAATTTTCTATCTGCATAAGCCCTCTTTAAAATTTCATAACAAAATTCCGCTCGTCGCTCAGCATCTCCTCTTAGTTATTGATGACATTGAAATCTATATGAACGGAATTTATTTCGTTTCAAAATTTTTAAGGCCGTAGAATTATGAATAATAAATTGGTCTGCAATGGCCCGAGAACTTATTCTAGGATTTTCTTCAACTGCTATTAATACATTTACTTAATTTTGATGTTCTAGCAATATTGATTGTACCTCAGCAATATTGATTGTACAGTTACAATTAGAAATCATGGTCCCTGTATTTTTAAATTTTGTAAAATCCTTTGAATTGTTGAATGACTTGGAGTTGGTCTATTGGGATATCTTACGCTAAATAAAGAACTGACAATTCGCGCACTATTGCCTGAATAAATTATTTTTATTATTGCTACTTTCTCCTCAACAGAATACATTTTTTAATCACCTACCTATATTGTTTTTTAAACAATAAATCACAAATTTTGACAATTTATATATTGTCAAATATCAGAAACATAAATAAGACCAAACTCAACATGTCATTATTGTACCTCGTGTGGCCTGACTTTAAGGGGTTGCCTGAAAAATGTATTATATTTTTACAAAATTTTGGAATACATTTTATTCGTAGAACAATTTTAACATTTGTTTTTAATACACATTTCAGTCCTCTACAAATAGTTTCTTATGACTTCTGATGTAAAATAATTAGGGAAGCAGAAATTCAACAATCTAGAATTTCCTATTGAATTTCCTATGGCCCGTTTGAAGATTCACCACCCTGTATATATATATATATATATATTTATATATATATATATATATATATATATATATAGTACATATTACAGATCCTTTAATAATGGGAAGTTATTTTCGTGAAATATCTCGTTGACCGCAAGTACCTATAAAATAAACCCTTAGATTTAGATATATATATATATATATATTATATATATATATATTATATATATATATATATCCTGGATATATATTCTGGAAACCGTCTGTATATACAAATTAATTTTTTAGTTTATTTTTAATTTTTTTATTCATACTTATTATTTTACTCATACATATTATGCTTCCTTTTTTTAGGCACAATTCATTAGCTGTTGACAGATTTTTAATGGTGTATGATTTAAGAATGTTGAGAGCAATATCTCCGATGCAGACTGTTATAGACCCATTCTTTTTAAAATTTGTTCCGTCTATATCATCAAGATTGACTGTGATTTCTGTATTAGGACAGATACAATTACTCGATACCATTGCGTTGGCCGAACCAAAGCTGTGTTTATTTCAAATGGAAAATCCAGGTAATTGTTCTTATTTGCTATAAAATACCAGCTACTTGATAAGTTGCGGCAAAGAACGAAATTGTAATATTCTGGAAGCCATTTAGATATTATTATTCAGATTGATTAATGCAGAACACGAAGTCATTCTCAGATTGGTAACCAACGTTTTTTTTTTGGAAAGTACCCAGACGATACCTTATCCTCTTATTATCCTTTTTACTACTCGTGAAACTTCTGAAGAATATTAAACAGTTGGGTCTTGTGAAAATATGTATAAGGCCATGCAAAACGCGGTACTGCCCAAGACAAGACAAGTTCACATGTGTTCGAACATGTTCGGGAGATACTCCAGTACACCAGGTCAAATTAGGCTCGATAAGACGAAAACAGTCCCTCAGTGTTCAATCCTTTAGATTCTGTAGGTATTTAGGAGAGTGAATTTTCCCGCTAATTAGAGTAACAGTAACAGTAGCTTAAATCAGGACAAAAGAGGATATGTTTTTTATGAGTACAGGCCGATCAAGCGTCTGTGTTTCGATAATACGTAAATTAATTCAGATATTAAATTATTATTAAGGTATTAGACAATAAAGGAAGCCACATCTTTTAGGAAATGTACTGGGAACGAGGAAAACCTTATTCGCCGTAAATGTGCTTGTGGAGAGGTACATGACTGTTAATCAGCCAGTGTACTTTTTTTTTTATTACAATAAGGCATTTTATAGACATAATAACCTTATCAAATTACGCGAAAAGAAAAAAAAATAGACATAAAAGACAATAGGTTCGTTAGCGCTCATATTATAGCTGTGATAAAGGAGAACAACGTTTTTTCAGAAGAATTACAGATTGGAAGGAGTGTCAGGCAGGAGTTATATATATACTCAGAGGAAATAATCCAGGAAACACTAGAAAAACTATTTTAATGAGAGGAATATCTTGACGATTTAAAACAAATGGTTAAGAGTTCTAGAAGTCAGTGAAGGGAATGAATTGCCCATAAACGCAAAAATACACCATTTATGGTGGTTAAAAAGCATAATAATACACGGAGAACACATTAAAAAAGTTTAAAAATATAAATATCTGGGATCAATAATTGATTGAAAAAATGAGTACACAGAAGATATTAAAGCTATTCGAGGTGAAAACAAATACGGAGTAATGTTTGTGCTTATTTTCTCTGTGATAATGTAGCTAAATCTATTTGACGAACTTTGACAAATATTTAGAATTTATATAGATAATTTTACAGCTTGGTCGAAAACCCACAAGAAAAGCTTACATGTTGTGACAAAAATATGCTTACAAATTACCCTTTCATTATTTTGTCTATATATGTTTGTTTAACTTAAATTTTATATTCGAATATTTAAATAATCGGTCACATACTTATTGCGTATTGTAATATTCCCAATCCTAAGTGGTCACTTTGTTTCGTTAATGTTTTAAACTTAACATATACACTACATTTTTACGTATATATTTAAGGAATATTTCTGGAATGTAATTCAGCAGTCTTATGTTAAGCTGAACTCGGGTTCTTGCATTTGATGTAATTACCTTTTATTTGTTCATAATATTAGCGTTTTACATACAAAAATATTTTTTTCTGATTTATTATTTAAAATAAAATTTCTATTTTTTAGGTGCTATGTGCTTAACGTTTGATATATCCTCCAGCAGTCAGATTATGGCTTGTGGTGATAATACAGGCCACATACACGTATTTTCAGGCTCTAATGTAACTGAACCTGTTGTTAACTCCTTCTCGAGACCATGCGAAATGCCAGATACACCAACCGTTTATCCAAGTTTTAGTATTGACGATTATAATACACCCCTCTCGGTGATTCCCATGCCAATTGTTCCTCCTGAAATACCTTTGGCTTCTGATTGGCCCCTTCATCTTATGCAGAAAGTATACAGGTAAATTTTAAAATAATAAATATTAGAAAGCTTAGCTTGTGAAATATTTCAACCATTCTGATCAAACATCCCATTTTTATTATTTCTAGTTAAGATCTGATTTATGGTTTAAATCTGAGACTTTATCTCTGCTCCACTCAAAGTATATAAAAAGTAAGTCGAGATATAATTTCGTCTGCTTCAATTAGATATGACATTTCGATATAATCACACAATCATCACCTTAGCGTCTTCACTCCTAACTGATTGATTTGGTTCTACAATTGGTTGCGTGCCTTGTCGGCTTGTACAATTTTCCTCCTTTATCCCTGAATACGAGCCCTAACAACTATATGTTGGAGTTATTTTGCGAATATAATGCCAATTTACCGAAATTCTTTTATTTTTTTTTTAATTGTAAATATGAAATTAACAACATTTTATGATATATGGAATTATGTTCCACCATTAATCGTCTGGAGGCCTTTAAAATGTGGCTGCACAGACGTATACTAAAAATTCCATGGACGGCTATGCTGACAAATGTGGCAGTCCTTGAGAGAGCAAATGCTGCTCGCGAGCTGCTTGATAACATCAAATGTAGAAAGATGGCCTATTTTGGACACGTAGTAAGAGGAGACCGATATAATATTCTTCAACTTATTATGATGTGTAAAATCGAAGGAGGCAGAGGAATTGGTAGAAAGCAGGCCTCTTTGAGGCCTAGCTGAGCAACTATTTAGAATAGCTCGAGACAGAGACAGTTTCGCCATGTTAATCGTCAACGTCAAGGGGACTTGATAGGGCACGTTAAGAAGAAGGAATTATGTTTGCGGCTTAATTATATATTTTATATTGATTACTCTGTAATTAATTGTTTGATAATCGAAAATTGTTGACAACTAAATATTGGAACATTCTTTGCTTTTCCCACGTTTCTTAAATTTTATCAGCCTGACACAACTAAGGCTTTGAAATCTAACATTCGAGTAAGTAGTGCGTCATCGACAATAATTGCTATGGTTCATTTGACTATGAATAAAGACAACTGTCAGTTTTATTACAAGTAAAATATAATAATGGACCGTGGAAACCCTACTGATCCGAAAGTTCGAGAAATTATTATTCATCAGTACCATGAAGGGAAAACAATGCGTGAACTTTTCAGTGAATTGACTGTAACAACAACTACGGTGTTTAATATAATTAAATATGGCGAAACTGCCATTATTGATGTTTGCAGCAAAAGCTCAGGCCCTCCAAATGCTGTTTCTCAAAGGAGTGTAAAGCATTTAATTCGAATATGTAAGTTGGAAAGACGAAATACACTACGACAAGTAATCACTAGAAGGAATAGAGAAACTAGGATGAATGTTTCCAGAGAATCCTGTTGCAAATATATCCACAAAATCAGTCTTAGTTTTTATATGGTACTTTTTGATAAGTTCTTCGTTGAGATATAAATTTTCTATTTTTTGATTTAAAGTAGACCAAAGAAAAACCATTGCTGACGGAAACTTAAAAAAAGAATCTTTATATTTGGGCTAAATCAAAACTTTCGTGGACCAAACATAACTTGGCCAAAGTTATCTATAGCGACGAAAGCAAATTTGATGTGTGTGTGGGAGATTGTTGAAAGCTTGTGATCCGGCAAAAAGTGTAATTCGAGAAGCATTCCATAAGGATTTTTTTTAACTTTAAAGTTTCCACAGGGCATCATAGTGAGGTTATATTTCGGTCAAAGGTTTGGGAACATTACATTTTATTGAGGCCATAGTAAACGCAGCTAAATATTAATATATCCTTGAATATTAGTTTCTACCAAGTGCGGCGAAGTTATATCCATCCGGAGACTTTATCTTTCAGCAGGACGGAGCCTCATGCCATACGGCTAAATCTACCAAATATGGATGGGATAATATGTTTGATGGGATAACATGACATTCAAGTTTTGTCACCTTCTTCTAGCAGCCCAAATTTTAATCCAATAGAGACACTGTGACACAAAATGAAACAACGCCTAAGAAATAACCCTCAGCGTACTTTGCCACAACTACGTGCTAAAACCAAGAAATATGGGATAGTTTCACCCCTAAATTCTGTGAAGGCCTAGTTGGTACAATCCCTAATAGAGTTGAGGTTGTTATTCAAGCTAAGGGCGACTTTACGCCTTATTAATATTTATTTTAATATGTTAAAATCCTATTGTTCCAATATTTATTTGTCAGCATTTCTTGGCTATCAAACAATTAATTAAATAGTAATCAACATAACATAGAATTAAACTAAAAATAATTCTATATATCATAAAAAATGTTGTTAATTTCATATTTACAATTAAAAAAACTAAAATAAAAGAATTTCAGTAAATTGGTATTTTATTTGCAAAGTAACTGCTTGTTCCAACCTATAGTTGTTAGGGCTCGTATTCCTCTCCAGCCTCTACAGTGTTCTCAATTGTAGAGTCCAACCTATACAATGTTCTCAATTTAGACTTCCCGTCCCATTTTGGGCCTTCCTCTTCTGTATATTATTGGTCTTCAGTTCTGCTTATCTGCTTCTAGATTTTTCCTTTCTAGATGTTTCTTCCCTCTGAGTTTCTTCTCATTTTAGGTTTTTAATTATTTTATAGTTTTTAAATTTTCTAGGCTACATTCACTATTACCTAGGTTTATTAGGCCTGCTATTATTTTAATTATTTTTCTCTCTAGAATCGTTAATTTTTCTTCATCAAGCCCAATATGTGACCACTGGTCTAATTTCAGCTCTGTGAATTTTCCGTTTTGTGTTTTTAGTAAGCGGTTAACTTTGATTACGTTGTATTTCCAGTTAACATATATTTTCCAATTTTTATCTCTGCCATAATAACTGAATTTTTCAATAAAATAGTTCATTTTTTAACATGAAATCATGGACGTATAAACACAGATGGACTCAGTTATTTACATAAAATTGTGAAGTCAAAATTATTTGAATAGGTCACATTCTCAGCACCTTTCACGTTTTGTTTTAAAATTTCTTATTCGCGAGTCGCTGAAAATATTACTCCGTATTTTATACTCTACAGGTGCTATCCAACCAAAATAATAATTTAATGGTTAGATTAATATATTTAATTGTAATCAAAATATAAAGTGTGCACATAGTGTGCATTATCATTTAATAATGGCGTATAATAGATATCAATCAATTATTTTATATGTAGAAGCACTCAAAACTATTTATAAATGGCAACGGTTGTTTATATTTCTCTATGTTATGGATCTACGTCAAACTTCAAATGCTGTTTCATGTTTGTTTACTTTTTAGTAAAAGTTGTTTTTCGATATTTTGGCTGTATTTTGAGTGATATTTGTAAAAAGTGAAATAAAATAAACGAAATATTTACATCCCGATCTCTCATTTCATTTGTAAGTACATACAAGTTACATTATTTAAGATGAGGAAATGAGGAAGCGTGTTTGTTTACATTTTAATAGGCGTACCATTGGGTTTATTCATGTTCATTAATGTATTGAATAAGATATAAGTTCATGAAATTAGTAGACATTTTTAAATTGTAAGTAGACATCATCTGATTAAAAAAGATCTGTTTAGTACCTTTTTAATTTAATATTTCTCATGGATTCAAATAAATTAGTGAAATGAATAAAACTCATTTATTTTTCTATGTAGGTTTCCAAATAATATTGACGATCGAACTATTTTGGTAGCAAATTTAGGAGAAAACATAAAGATTTTTTATTGTAGCATTATTTTGATACCTATTAAAAATTAACTTGAATTCAACTACCTATATTTTATTGTAATAATTTTAAAGCAAATAAAATTGTATTTATATTTTTCTATAAAGACGTGATTTGTTAATAGTTAAACTCTCGTTTTTTTAAATTCTTTGATCGTGTTTTTATACATTATTACTACTTCCAATTTTTAAAATCTGAATAATTACCCGTGAGTAAAAATTCAAGCACGCTTATGCTCATTGCGGAAGCATCACATTCTATGGAAGCTTCAAAACATTGTATGTTAAAGGTGCTGTGTCCATCTATGTTTATACGTCCATGCATGAAATACAATATTTCTCAATAAATATAACATAATATGACCCTGATTTACCATCCACGGTTCTAATTATTTAAAATGTTTATTTAGAACTTTTACTTGTACAATTAATTTTCTTAAATCACCTTCTTGCCCTGCTCGATTATCGTTCATTAGCTATCAAAGTGGCTATACTTATTTTGTTGACGGAATCTCGGAAAAGGGATGCAGAGGATCTGATAAACCATTCCCTCTGGATTTTAAGTCATGAAGTTCGTCTTCGACCTGGCCCGCTTCTTCATCTATCTTCCCTTGTATTATTAAATGAAGTATAGTATATCTCTCTGGCTGACGAATAACATGGCTAAAATATGCCAGTTTACAATTTTTGACTATTCTGACCACTTCCGTAACTTTTTCCATCGGCTGCAAAACAACCTCGTTATGAGCTTTATCTACCCAGCTTACTTGCAGAATTCTCTGATACACCCAGATTTCAAAGGCCTCAAGTTTTCTTAGAAGTTTATCTGTTAAAAGTCTAACTTTCGACACCATATCAAGGAATAGAAAACACATCTTACTAATCTAATTTTCAGGGTCAAAGTAATATTGTTTCACTCAAGATTTTCTTGATCTTAAAAAATGCAGTTCTGGCCTAATTTATATGTATTCTAATTTCTTTGCTTTGCTTCAGTTGTTCTCCAAAAGCTGTTGTATTCTGGTTGTATTGGCATTTCACTGACAACCATTACTTTTGTCTTTGTGGTGTTTATCATCATCCAGCCCTTTGCGTCCGCGGCTGGACATAGGCCTTCCTTATTTTTGTCTATTGTGCTCTATCTTGAGCACTTTATATCCAATTTCTTGACATTTTCTTGAGATCGTCAGTCCAACGAGTAGGGGTCTTTCTCTACTTCTTTTATTTAACCTCGGTCTCCTCTCAAGCAATCTCTTCGTCCACCTTTCATCACTGATTCGGGCGACGTGTCCGGCCCAGTTCCATTTCAATGTGGCAATTCGGGAAATTACATCAGTAACTCCTGTTCTTCGTCTTAAGTCTTCATTTCTAACTCAGTCACGAAACGATATACTCAACATTGACCTTTCCAGTTTCCTATGAGCTATTTGCATCATTTTAGAACTTGTAGCTGTCAGTGTCAAAGTTTCGGCACCATAGATCATCACAGGCAACACACATTGGTCAAATGTTTTACGTTTTAAAGAAATTGGTATATCGCTTTTAAACATGTCTTTGAGTTTTAGATAGTCTGCCCATTCTAGGTTTATTCTTCTTCGTAGTTCGCATGTTTGGTTGTCGCTTGTGATCTTCATTTCGGTTCCAAGATATATGTAGTTTTCCACCAGCTCTACTTCGTTGTCTCCAATATTGATATTTCCGCTAGGTACTAGGTTTGTCATGAATTTTGTTTTGGAGGTGTTTATTTTAAGATACACACTGGCACACACTAACTAAAGTTCATGTAGTATTGTACATATCTCCTTGAGGTTGTCCGAGAACAAAACTATGTCGTCTGCGAATTTCAAATTTGTTAATCTTTTACCGTCAATGTTCAAGCCTTTCTCTTCCCAGTTAAGTTTTTTACAAGCATATTCTAGTACTGCGGTAAACAGTTTAGGCGATAAGGTATCACCCTGTCAGACTCCTCTGCCGATGTGGATATGATTCGTGTTTTCATTTAGTCTCACCGACATAGTTGCGTTCTTTTATGTATTGTAAATTAACCTTTTATATTGGTAGTCAATGCGGCATGTAGTGCTTCCAGGATTTTGTCAAATTCTACCGTGTCAAAGGCTTTATGGAAATCTACAAAAGCCAGAACGAGTGGTCGATTGTATTCGATAGTCTTTTCTATTACCGTTTTAATGCTCTGTAGGTGATCATTTGTTCCAAATCGGTATGAAATCCTACTTGCTCTATTGGCTGGTACAAATCAAGTTTTTTCTCAAGACGATTCGTTACTATTCTTGTAAGGAGTTTGTATAGGTCACTAAGAAGACTTATAGCTCTGTAGCTTTCTAATTCATGGAATCTACTTTTTTGTACAATAGAATTAACTCAGCATTGTGCCATTTGTCGGGTATATTACTGTCCAAAAGGCCCATGTTAAAAAGGTTTTTTATTTTCTTTGGAGATGAGATTTGTTTATTTTTAGTGCTAGTTTTATTTCGTTCGTTTGTCGTGTTTAACTTCAGTCCATATTCATCGCACGTCGTGGTAATCTTATTAATCAGATGTTGAAGATCGTAACTATTTGCAATTAACACCCTCTCATATGTGTACCTCAAATTATCAATATTGATGCCATTAAATGTTACGTGTGCTTCTATAGGGAGTAGAAACGTGGACATTGAAGGCGGAAACTGTATCAAAACTTCAGGCTTTTGAGCTATGGTTGTACAGAAGGATCCTGATACCATGGACAGACAAAGTCACCAATGAAGAAGTACTACGGAGGATGAACACAAAAGCGCATTGCAGTACTTACTATAATATGACATATAATGAGAAATCAAGGCAGATATGAGCTATTCCAATGCATTTTGTAAGTTGAAGGAAAAGGGGCCCCAGGATGACGAATATCCTGGCTTGCTAACCTAAGAGCATGGTATAGAAAGACCTCAACACAGCTACTTCGTATAGCAACCAGAAAAGTCATCATAGCCAGACTGATCGCCAACATTCGTAACGGACAGGCACCCTAAGAAGAAGAAGAAGATGACATTCATTTTGATACCACATTGAACACTATCCAATGCTTTATTGAGAAGGAATTTCGAATAGATGTTAAATATTAGAGGGGAAAAAATGCAGCCCTGTCATACTCCTCTTCATATTTGAAGCTCTTCAGAATTATTATGGCCAATTCTGATGTTTGCAGGCCGATACCAGTAAAGATTTTGAATGATACGTAGGTCTTTATCGCCAATTCCCACCTGCTGAAGAATGGCTATTATGTCAGTATGTTTTATTCGGTCAACGGCTTTCTCAATGTCAATAAAACTCATATAAACCGGATGGCCGACATCTCTGCATCTCTGTACCATAATCTAAATACTAAATAGTGCTTCTCTGGTTTCAAAGTTATTGCGGAACCCAAACTGCGTCACTAAATTGTTCTTCTAGGTTTTAAGTTTTTTTTTGAATACTCTTGAGTGCAAAATTCGAAGAAATATTTTTAAAACATGGCTCATCAAGCTGATGCTTCGGTAGTCACTATATTTTTATAGCACAAAAATCAATTTGGTAGAGTCCGTAAGTTTAAATGCTAGTTAATATTTTATTCACTTTTATTTGTAGTGAAGTTTGATTCCTTTTATTTGCAATCACAGAGTAATCAATTCGGCAACGCTGCTTTGTTTATAGTTGTGATGTTTTGGAACAAACAATATACGCTAATGTATTTTTTTTATTATGTTGCAGAAAACCATTAGGCATTGACCCTGAAATCCTTTCCTCGATGAAAATGCAAGGTCCTATCGGATATTCACCAAATCCAAAAACAACAAGGAGAAATCAAGTGAGACTAGAAAAATTAAAACCAGTTTATTTTTGTTGATATGATTATATTTCGAGTTTGTTTCGAGGTTTCAGTAGTATTATTTTACATTTTTTCGAATTCTTTGGAAAGAAGTGTGATATTTGTTTTAGTTTATGACAAGTTTGGTTGTTCAAATCAATAAAAGTTTATTTCTTATTTGAAATATGGCAGTTTTCATTGTGCCTATTGCAAAATGTTCTAATATACCCTTAGAGTAAGAGCAATAGAACAGATAAGTCGAAACCGCAAATGATTTGTGCGTTTTTTTTTGTTTCGGAAGCCCGCCTGTTATAAACTAGTCGTACTGCAGCCAATTGGCTTATTGTACATCGTTCATTTATTCATGGTACCTATATTCCTCACTCTTCGTCAACTATTTTCCATCCATTCCTGAATGAAAATATCTCCCAATTGCTTCCATCTGTCTTTATCTTGCGCCAATATAATCCCCTGTTTGCCTGCCATTGCTCTTATGACATCTATCCATCTCTTTTGAGGTCTTCCCATGCTTCTTGTCGTCCCCCTTGGTCTCTATTTTTCGTGTCCGGCTGTGTGACAGGCTCAGCGCCATTTCATTTTTGTAACTTCTTCCACGATATCCCTGATCTTTGTTCTATGCCTTATCTTGGTGTTTCTAATCTAGTCTCAGTGATATTCCATGCATGTTTCGGTCCATTGACCCAGTTTCATGACATAGCCCAGGTATACATAATGTTTAACATTGTCTATGGTATGGTTTTGTATTGTTATATTTTTTCTGGTCCTGGTTCATTATTTATGTTTTATTGTAGTTCATTGTTAAGCCTACCGCTCCGGAAACTTCATTTAATTATTGTAACATTTCATTTAGTCCTTGGATATTTGCTATTAAAACTATCTCATCTGCAAATCTCAAATGTTTAAGTTGATCCATTGATGTTTATATCCTTTTTGTTCCATTCTAGTTTATTAAAATTAAAATTGTTTGCGAGAGCAAGGATGAATAGTTTGGGAGAAATGGTTGTCTCCTTGTCTCACTCTCCTTTATTGTTTTATACAATTCGTTTTTGTGATTTCGTCTAGCTTTATTTGCATGGTTGCATTTTTATTATATGTTTTTAATTACATTAGTGGATATTGAATCTATACGTGCGTTTTCTAGAGATTTTAGCATAGCCCATAATTCGATACAGTCGAATGCTTTTAGATAATCTGCAAACTTCATATGAATTGGAACGTTATACTCGGTACATTTTTTTATTAGTATTCTTATTACGATGTGCAAGTGGTCTGTAGTATTAAAATGCTTTTTGAATCGATAGATTAGTATAGTCCAAATTCAATAGGATTGTCAGGGTATCGTTTTAAAATGATAGAGACTGGAGGGGCACGAAACGAGAGACGAGTGTAGTTCAATGGTGTCGTGTACATTTTTAAAATAAGGGAAATCATTGTGAGGACTAATTCGAAAGAAACCTTTTACTTTAGATTTCTTTAAACGTACTGATATTGGAATAATGATCTTATGTACTTATCGATATTTTTAAAATAAAATTCATATTCAAATATAAATACCAACTGCTTTACAGAAAATAATAATAGACCCGGCAGCCTAATGTTAACCTTAATTTTGAGAAACAAACTTGCCATAATAATAAAGTTATTAGGTAAGTACTTACAATATTATAACCTCGTAGGACGAAGGATCGGACATGTACTTTCCGAATGGTAAAACATCAACAGCAACAAAAAACAAATTCATTAGAACTATATTAGTATTATTTAAAATAAATCTGTTTATGCTGATTCACGTCCAGATGTTAATTCACTATCACTACTGTCTTCTCCTGGAGTAATAATAATATGCTCAATAAGAATATCAACACGCGTGTCTACGTGCCACATTTTATCTTTTTCTTTCTGTGCACGTTTAATGCATGACTGTTAGTTGGAAGTGGTTATATGGTTTGTTCTAATAATAATTTGACATCTTTTAATTTGAAGGTTATGTTTTTTTGCACTACCTATTTTTTTATGTGCCCATATCAGCTCGATATGATTCAATTCACAATGACACGGTGGGGTTTTTAATATGGTGATGTTATGCTCACGTGCTATTTCATCTACTTCAAATCTGATGTAGGAAGTCTAATTTTTGCTTACTACATCAAGTAATTGAACTTTTATCATGGATTCATCAAATTCTATATTTTTGCTTATTAGCCAATCTACTATATCTGCCTTTCGAGATGCAGAAGTCGGTATTTTTTCCATAATACGGCTGTGATAAGGTGCATTGTCTATTATAATTACCGATTCAGGTTCTAAAAGAGTCAGTATAGAGGAAAACCATTTTTCAAACACATCCAAATTCATGTCCTCATGATAATCACCCGTTTTGATATAGGTAAAGGCATTTAAACCAACTTGTAAGAAACCTGAATTACTTAATATGTGCGTAATATTGACGGTGCTGTTGTCCGAAGGTGCTTTTAAGCTGGTTGAAAGTCCCCATTAAAAGCCTGTCTTTTCTCTTTACATACCGAAAATCCATTTCACGGAATCCTCTTTTTGTAATACCCGCATAGATATTTTATTTAAAGTATCATCTGAGTTTGAATTAATTTCTCTTTAAATAGCCTTTAACGTGGACATTTCGTTCCTAAAATAAAATCCATGAACTGTTCTTCAGATTATACTTTTCGTAATATCGTCCAGTACAATTTCTGTATGTCTTTTATGAATAGGTTTTTGAAGTGGTTTATTAACTTGAATTATTCGAAAAACGGTACAAGCCGATATTTTCTTTAAATCACAATACAATGCCGCGAAGTCCTCTATAAACATTTCGTCTTCTACGTAATCCCTCATAAACTGATTTAATCATTTGTTTTTTTTTCACAGATAACCACCTCCTTTTATCTGATTTATTAACATATGTTCTTCACGTTGGTATTGATGCCATGCTACCCGACAGTACGCTCATATAATACTTCTGACTACCTGATTTTAATATTTATTTTCACTATTTGTCAGCGAGTTTTAACAACGTTGCCGCATTGAAATAAGAATATTACTTTCGAAAGGGGTAACAATGTCCGCCTGTTCCTCTCTTGACTTTCAGGTATACCTCAACGATACTGATAAGCTGCACGCGGTACTAAATAATAAATTTCGCAACAAGGCTAGTAGTCTTTATCTAGTTCGGACTTATAGCAGATGTAATCGGTAAAAATGATAATTGAGAAGTAAATTTGTGTGCTAATAAATAAATAAATATATAGCCGCTTACTATAGAGTGTTTACGAACTACAAAATGACAATCCTATTGAATTCAGGGTATAGAAGTCGAGCTTATTTGTTAGGAAGATTTGTGGAACAGCGTATACGATTGCCTGTTTCAGGTTCCCTGCTACCGTATTTGTAACTTAAGTGTCCATGAGACAGTCCTATTGTATGCAGGTGCTCCTTAACTGGTGCATGTCTAGTAAAGAAGCTTTATGCAATGGAGAAATATTTAATTTTGACTACTTAAAAATTGATAAATTAACCATTCATGAATCGTCTAGATTGATATTTACTATTATTATTTCCATTGTTACACATTCTCTGCTGATTACTTGTTCTCTTTATATTTCTTATTCTTTCTTTTGAATCATACGCTTTGTGTTGACATTTTTATCTTCAAGTGGATTACTATTGATTTTAAAAAACAAATTTTTAAGAGTTATTATCTTGTACCTTATGTCACAATATTCAATATAGTATATGTTACATTTCTAGATAGGCCAGAGAAATTAGTGAATAAAAAACCTTTTTCGTGACACTCTGAGATGTGTCTTGTTTTTTTCCAAATTCCATTTATGCATCTTGTCGGTATAAGCATTCAACGTTATTCTTAATAATAACGCAAGGGTACCCTCCTGTCCTGGGGAGGAGAAATCATCCCCGAAGGCGGATGAACGATATCGCGTCGTCAACGGCATAGGATGCGAAAGGCAAGTGGGAAACCATCGCATCAAATTCCCAAGATAGTTAATATGGCAAGACAAAATCAATACATGGCCCCTAGTGCCCGGCAAGCGTTCAATCGTCAAGGGGTGCTAAGAATCCCCGGGAGGAAACTTAAAATTGCTACGTGGAATGTTAAGACATTGTATAGAGCAGGTAAATTAGCAAACGCTGAAAACGAGATGAGACGAATGAAGTGGGACATACTTGGTATGTGTGAGGTGAGATGGAAAGGAGAAGGATATGTGGATACAATAAATGGAAACCGATTCTATTATGCAGGCAAAGATGATGATGCCCAATCAGGTATAGGAGTGCTGGTAACAGCATTCATGAAACAACACGCGAAGGGTTTTCTACTAGTCAGCGTCAGAGCAATGATCATCAAATTAAATGGACAACCATTCGACATTAATATAATACAGGTATACGCCCCGACAGCAGACAGCACAGATGCAGATCTTGAGATTTTCTACTCCGATATTGAAAAGATTAAAAAACACATAAAATCAAATGTCATCAACATATTTATGGGAGATTGGAAGGCGAAGGTAGGAGCAGAAAAGGTCGAATCGATCATCGGCCCATACGGTTTAGGAACGAGGAATGAACGAGGCACACCCTTTGTTGAATTTTGCCAAGAGAACAACTTGGTGGTTCTTAACACATGGTTTAAATTACCAAAAAGACGTCTGTATACGTGGAGGTCTCCTCAAGATTGCGAAGGAAATATTGTGAGGAACCAAATCGACTACATTACAATTAATAAAAGGTTCCGTAATGGTATTCTAAATGTAAAAACGTACCCAAGCTGTTACATAAATTCAGACCACAATCCTGTAGTTGCAACTGTCAGAATAAAACTTAAAAGAGTAGGCAAGGCTAAACCCAGTCAGAAAGTAGCATGGAGTAGTGCTGACCAGGGACAAAAACATATGTATAAAGACATGGTAGACACGCAGTTAGAGTCTAAGACATTAGCTCCCACT